TGGGAGTATCAAAGAGGAGCCTTGGGGGGGGTGAATTTAAAAATTTTTTTTTTTCACCCCCCCTAAAAAAAAAAAAAAAAAAAAAAAAAAAAAGGCCTCTGTGATCCAGCTGGCACGCACGGATTTTACACACTCATCATTTTATCAGCCCTCGCTGTACGGCGCAGTGCAGACAACATGTAACCATCAGAGGCCAGCAGGGGAGGAATTCAAGTCAAAACAATAAACATAAACAGTCTCTGGTCTTCTGCAGCCTCACGCGTTTTCTACCAGGATTGCCCTGTAGTTTTCTGAACCCATCTCCCCATCAACTCTGTCGCCTAAAAAGGCTTGTGGCCAAATGCAGCGGGGGAATTCTTTCAGCAATTCAACTTCCCTGAAAACATGATTTGAGTTTTGCAAAATTAATAGTTGTGCCATCATCGGTTTCTTCTCTTACTTGATTTCTTGGCTGCTTACAATTAAAGCTCTCCTTGCATGTTTAGCTTGATGGCCCGACCTTGTTAAGTTTGTAGTTGCGTCGTCCTCATTTTATGTGATTTAACACATAAAGTTAGCATTAGCCTTAGGCTTTTGTGACGATCAAACCTTGGGATATTGTTTTAGAATTGAATCCTACTTTAAACAACTCAACCATGTTATCTCTGACCTTCCTGTTGTGTTCTTTGGTCATCATGATGCTGTTTGTTCACTTATGGTTCAAATCTCTGAGGCCTTCTGGATTTTTCCTGAGAATAAGCACTAAAAAAAGTGACTTTGGTAAGCCCTAGATTTATTTTGAGGTGGAAAGGGAGATTGGAATAAAAATAAATGTTAATTTACCAAAAAGTTGTTTTTAAACACATTTTTGTTGATTTATTATTACAAGGGTCAGCTAATATTACCATTTTTGAAATCACTGTCAATACATATAATTTATGTAGAGCTACAAAACTTTGCCCTTTGCAGAAATTTTATGAGCACCTAGAATGCAAACTGTATCAGTTTGACAGTTTAAAAAAAATGTAATTTAACATCCAATTTTAGGTTACAGAATAAAGGAAAGACTAATGTTTCAACAGGAAACGACTTCTTAAGTTTGTAGCCTAATGATCAAAGGAATGAGCTAACCCCCCCCCCCAGCAATTCTGTTTTCGTAAATCTTTGCACAGATAACTTGGAAAAAACAACAACAAACATAGCTGACCATGTCTAGACTTTTGTATTGATTTTATATTTAAGAATACCGCTCAGTTCTTCCGGACAAAGTTATGAAGAGCCACCGTAAAGGGCTTAGAGAGGTTGAGGAACCTCAGCTTGCTGATCCCTGGTCTAGGATATAAAATTCCAACATAACACATTGTACTTTGCGGTTATAAATGCAACATCACTGTGAATCATCATGTCTCTCTGAGATTAACTCACTTCCCATTTCGAGAGTTTTACTGCTGTGCAAACAAAAGGCTTCTCTGCTACAAATTAAGGTTCAAAGACTAAAGAAACGAAAGCCAAACTTTTCCCAGGTGCTTTGAAACCTTTGGGATTTCCGTGACAATTACTCTGAAAACTTCAAGAGGATAAAATATCTTTATTTTCCAACTAAATGCGTGATATCATCTATTTCATATGCACAGACATCATTTGTGTTATGACACGTACAACAACTTGATCACCAGTCATTCTCAGCTGCACTTCTGTACATGTTTCCAACGACTCTGAACGCCTCGACTTTCCACATCTAACTGTCGATCAGCAGCTGGTTACGTGCTCGTTCGTGTCAAACTTGAGGTATCCCATCTATGCCAATCGCGTACCGACAAATGAACAGCGCAGCTCGAGAGCATTTACAACCATCTAGGATAAGTTTCACTGCAGTTAGGTTAACTCTATGTAGGGCAAGCAGATGGCTGATCCGCTCCCATGTTTAACAGCACAGTTTATAGTGGTTAGACAACATGGGAATAGTTCTGGTAATTCTTTTCACATTTTTCTTCAACGACCTCAACACAGAGGAACCTCCTCATACGAAACGACACTTTTATGAGCCATAAGTTAGCACTACAGTGTGACAGTGGGCCCGGACGGCTCTGGGCCACAGCAAGTGGAGCGTTCTCAGGCGCCGCGCCCTCTCTGTCCGAGGATCACATCCACAGCGTGGGCCAGGTTGTCCACAGTTGCATCGGCGATCACAGTTGGGTGCCTCTCGTCACTTGGCCTGCAGGGTGACAAGTGAAACCGTAAGAAACAGGAAGGAGCAGCTGCTACATGAGAATCTGTAAACATGGAATCTAGCTCTCATGTGATAAAAAAAAACAAAAAAAAAACGCAGAATGGCAGCTTATAAAGTGGACAAGATGGCTTAAAAATAACCCACACAAGCCAGAGTTAGAATACAGACCACCCTGATGAGCTTCTGTGGAAATATGTCCCAGTAGAAACAGGTTTATAGTCTCCAAGAAGGAATAGCAGAGCAATAAAAATAATGTTTGTTTGCAATAAATTTTGCGGAGTTATTAGTGCTGTTAAAAGAGAGTATCCGCGTAGCTGCTTGTGTTACAGAAATGCAGGGCAGTGCACGCTTCTGACCTTCATCACCAGCTGCATCGGTGCGTTCTAAACCTTTACCATTTTGACATCTAACTGAAACAGACAAACTGGAACACACACTCCCAAGGGAAAACATTTCAAAACATACATACCGGATTCTACAACTCATTTAGGCTCCAACACCTGAATTTGGCTACTTTCAGCACAAAAAAAAAAATAAAATAAAATGCAACCGTTCTGTTCAAATCATCTCCAACAGGTTTCTTGGACATGACAATAAGTTCAATGTACTCCAAAGGTTTCCACAATCACTAAATTGCAATCAGATAACAAGGCTAGTACCACTGTACCCAATAAACTATGCTATATAAATATCCCTGCCACTAAATGCTATGACAACCAGTGTTCACTTTACCTTTCCTGTGATTTAGACTTTTCATCATGTTGTACATTTATAGTTGGTCTTGTTTTTTTTTTTTTTTTTTTTCCCACCTTTGTCCTTATCCATATCTGCTTTGACAACTGACAGTCTACTCATGGTGTTGATGAATGATATCTACCAGCAGGAGGTTGCTTGGATGAGTCAACTGGTCTAAATTGCTATCAGAACCAAAATAAATGAGTAAATGGGGTGTGATAGAACGTTTTCAGAAAATGTTACATGGTTGAAATAAGCTAAGGAAGATTTGACTTCTTTTATGACCAAAATCCATGATAATCCTGAATAACTGGAGGCTGCAAGTAAGAATACTATCACATGAAAGAAGAACCACCCACTAGAGAAGAGTGGGTTGATACAACATGTTCCTTAAAAAAAGATTCACCTTTCCATGAGACCACATAAAGGCACACTTTGCAGAACATGGTCTAACTGGAAAAATTGTGTAACATTAGTAAGAGTCAACTTTAAGTGATGGACTTGACACAAAAAGCATTTAATAATTCCCTTATCCAGTTATCAAACCGTGAAAGAAAAAATACCCTCCAACTGATCTTTAATGGAAATAGCCACACAAAGCCACTGACATTGTGTTGGATATAAAGAAATAAACACATTTGTAAAGATTATAAGTCGCTGTATTTGGTTGCTTTTCAGTTATCAAGGATAATTGAAGAAAACGCTGAACTACAATGAAAAATAAACTGATTTAACAGGAAAATATTTGCTTACAGCATTGACATGGAAGTAAAAAGTGATTAAATAGCAATGCGTAGGTGAAGGCCCATCTGTCAGTGGTCATAAAAGTTATGCCTGGTATCAAGTTTTCTTTAAGTGAAAAGTGTTTGCTGTTGAAAACTCAACTAAAAAGGTCTCAGACTGGTTGAGGTTACAATCATAATCTTGGCTCTGCTTTGGCTCCTAAATTGTGGGAAAGCTTCACAAAGCGTGCCCCAACAGTTCATATCTCCCCCACTGACTAATGCCTTTCTTTGGATCAGGGTCCACTGATGGATGCAGATATGGCTGTTTAATCAGCTGGTGGAGGAAATGTAATCCATTTGGTGTGGCACCCGGCCCAGGGTCGGCATGCAAGACCCTTTTCCTCCCAATCACATCAAAAGACATGGACACCCTTTTCATTCAACTACAGGAGTCCTGTTCATTTATAAAGGGGAGCCTATAGATACACACCCCCCACACACACCCGCTTCTCAGACCAGCCTAGACCAGACTCTGTGTGCTGCCTCTGTTCTGTCCCTCAGTCACGGGTTGGAGCTCCAGATGGGGACTCTTTGTCTGGCTACGGGCGTGCGGCACACACCACCATTAATCTTCGCTTCTGAGAGCCTGCGGAGAACCATGGCAAATATTTGTGAGCTGCCCAAGTGTAGCGCTAGAAAGAAGAGGCCTGGAGGTGGTGGTGGTGGGGGCAGAGAGGTGTTGAATACTGAAGCCACGTTGAATACGGGGGAAGCGGTGCCATGTGTTTACGCATGTCTGTCAGCTGCCAGCGCTTGGGTTATGTGAGCTGCTGCACTAATGGTCGGGGTGTTATGTCTCCTGTGCAGAATTACTCCCGCACCCTTTTCTGCCCGAGGACTGATAGAGTTTACACACGCACACGGATGCATGAACTCACAAGCAAGTCGCTCACATGGCTCTTAGGTTTCAAGAAGTGAATTCAACCGCATTGTCTCTTTTACCTCTTGCGCTATTAAATCTTTCAAACGTCCCTTTGCTCCCGTCCTCCAGATATCCAAGCATGCATGCATGTCTGCATGTATTCATTTTGCTGCTTTCCAATCTCTGCCATGAATAATAGAGGAGCAACCAGGTCAATGTGACCATGCAAAATTCAGGACAACGTATCTAGTGTTACCGGTGAGGTAATCTGCGGCTTGCTCCGTGCCCTTCAGGTCAGCGCAATATCAATACGGCATAAGCAGATCCGTTCGGCCTCTGCGACTGACCGACACTGCGCAGCCTTTGTGCAGCGATGAGGTCAGCCATGAGGTAGGAGGTAGACAGCAGCAGCAGTCAGGGGTTTTGGCCAGCACAGCTGCTAACACGTTGACAGGGCAAAGTGTTTCTCTGAATTAAGGTTACTAAGTCACCACAAGATTTAGTTTGCATGTGGAACCTGGAAAAGCAGTGTATAATTATAATGCACTGGGCAGAAATCTTGTTAAAAATAATAATTATTGTTTCTGTTGTACAATCGGGGAGGTTTTTCTTTGTTTGTACTGTTACAAAAGTAACAGTACAAACAGGTACACAAAATAGAAACAGAATTGCTTTGAGTATGATTCCAAATGTGTTACCTTCATGTTCTCTGTAAAATTAGATAAGATTACACCATAAAGTTGAATTTGCTTCCTTAAATGACACATCATATCTTAGAGCCATAAGACAAATTCAATCATAATTGGCTATTTTATTGTTTATTAAAGACAAACAAAATCATTGAAAGCCTGAGGTAAGACAATACAACATACTTCCCCCCATGACAAAGACAAAGCTTAAAGAGAAAGTTACCAGGCAGGCCACTAAATCAGCTGTTTGTGAGCATAAAGTTCATAAGGTTAGAACATTGTTTCAGTCTCTAAAATACGTCTATAGGATGTTTAAAAATAACTACTTTCAGCTTTAGCTTCTCTTTTATCCACCGCATGTAGCATAGGGTGACATCATCTTATTTGATTAGTTGCAACTTGGAAGTTATACTGAGCAGCTGTAAAATAAATACATTCAAATAACTGGGTAAAATAATTAGATGAAAAAAAAAAAAAACTCAGATATTACGCAGAAGAAAAGTTAAACCACAGCAACCTGGAAGATAAAGTAATGTTGAAAAGTAACAACATCCACAACTAACAGTGTTATTGTTGGTTTGACCTGTCAGTGCTTAAGCATGGTGCATTTCCTGCTCAGGAAAAGACCAGAAATTTGACTTTATGACCCCCCCCAGTCACTGGCCTGGGCTTAGTAAGCTTAATGCATATTTTGAATAGCTGAGTCTTGCACATTTGATAGGACATGAGTATCCTAATGGATGTGGCAAGTGAATGCTCTCTATGTATGATAAAGGCAAAGCTAACATGCCATTAGTCCATGTAAACATAGTTTAGTGTAAACTTGTTGCCTATGACAAAACGGAACTGCTGTGTGCTGAAAGTCTTGCTCTCTCTTACTTTCTTGCAGCATGAATGAAATACACTTTCCAAATGCTTCTTATACCTCTGTGTTGCAAAAATCTTTACCTACCCATACTGAAAAGGTTTTTAACCCCACCGATAGGACACATATGGCATATTTATTCATTAGAAAAATTAAGCCTTTCTGTTATCTGCTGAAAGTATTGCCCTTTCTCATTCATGTAGCCTGAAATAACTATCCACATGTCATAGAGTATACTTAAAGTTTTCCAACATGTATATTTGAAAAAATTAAACAACTTTTGGAAGGAATTCACATTCAAAAATTAAAAAAAAACCTAAATATTTTTCACTAATTAACACCAGTTACGCTTCAAAAACGTGTTGCCAGTACAATATGGTAGCAATTTCCAACCTCCTGGCCACCTGTAGGGGCTGACCAAAGTGAATTCCAGCATAATTTCTTTTGAGGTAAATGCCACACCTTACTAGTGTTCAAAATATTTAGAACCCCAGTCAAAAACATGGTCAACGAGATGTTCGGGAAAGAATGCAAACTGTCAAATTAGGAACAAAACTCTAAGTCCATTTAATGGACAACCTACAGAAATGCATTAATAAAGGCAGATTATTCGGTATGCCTAATACATGTCTTTGGAAAATCCCTTTGAGTAAGCAGATTAAAATGGGAACCCCTGTTCTAGCTTGAACCAGTAAGCAGACTCTGATATGCAAACCATAAAATTTTGCATAGAAGGAAATACAAGAGGTTCATCTTTGTGGTTGATCTTTAACCAAAGGTCCAACCAAACTTTTTTTTAGCTCTCTGTACAAGCAACATTTAAGTCCACTTTTATCACACCATTTGAAATCCATTTTGATTTACTCAACTGAAAGCTGGGCCTTCATAGCTGTGTATTTGGAATGACTCAAGAACTTAAACTACATAATAAATGTTTTAGAAATTAATCTCTTCTCTGCTCTGTATGTGCTTTAAAGATGAATTTGTAAACCTCTAATCCTACCCATGTTAGACATTATAAAAGCTGAACCTGTGTTGCACGTGAATGC